CGTTTTCATTTAATTTTTTTTATATTTATTTTATTTTTAATGGTAATGTCTCTGTAAAACTACAAAAACTGGATTTTCAAAATTAATGGCTCAAACGATTTTAATTTAATTTAGTATGTTATGACACAGTTATGATATTTTCAACTTGACATAAAGGTACAATATCCAACGCTGTAACAATTATGGTTCAACATCTTTGCAACTGTAATGATTTCCCCCATAAAATATCATATTTACTCCCATTATAATGGTTGCTCATAATAAGGGGTTTTAAGAAGCTAATAGAAGAAAGAATGTGACAGATTGCTGATACCGTTTATTTAGTGTCGTTAAAAGTTTTACAGGCTAAGATCAGCTATTCGTTTTAAGAAACTCACCGAAAGCCCAATGACAAATGGAAGCAAGTCAAGATTTGAATTATCAAAAAGCTACTTCAAACTTTCAGGCTTAACCCAGTTCTAATTACTATAGCGCCAACACTATTCCCTCATAAATGCTTTAAATGCTGGGGAGTGAGCTGGTCTAGTGGTTAGAGCGCGGGACTTAGTTTCAGAAGCCCGGGTTCAAATCCCGCCAAATCGCCAATGGATTTTATTCTTGTGATAATGCCGCAACCCCTAGGTCTAGCCTGAAGTAATGTGAAAAACTATTCCGAGCTCGTGCCTAGCGTCCTAGGACAAAAAGTGTCATGTTGATGTAAGTAAATTTTGAATTACATTCTCAAGTAATTATAGATCCTCGGAGGTACAGCTTCCCTGATTCAGATGGCAGTACATTTAATCTTCATCGGTTTCTTCCCCTAGGGTAAGCTATATTGGAATACCCCCTATTGTGTGTTTGATTCCCTAAACTCAATCTTATTAGCATCCTGATGCAGTAGGCCTACTCTATTTCGTAAGACAGTTGTTGGGGTTTTTTCCGAATTTTTACAATAAAATATGTAGGGTATTTTATTAGTATCGGCAACCACGTGATTTTTATCGGATAGTAGTGTCTACACATTTACAAGTTGATTGTTTTTAGCTTTTATCACAACAAAGGAAATGCGTGTAAAATACATTGCGGGTTTAATGTGGCTCTTTTACTCCCTAGCGAGTAAAGCCCTTTTTAGTCCCCAGGGAGTAAAGGACAGCTGTTGTGAACAGTTTTAAACTTCATTGATTACTTACTTAATGGATCGAATCTGTTTATCGATTAATTTAATTGGTTGCAGCTTATTGAAGCATTCATGTAATTGTTTGAGATATCGATAGTATAATGTACAGTAACACAATCGTAACAGACGAAATTATTTTTGTTGGTTTAGCAAAATCGAAAACAAACTGGAAGTCGTTTTGAGCCGTTCCATGAAAAGTATTTTCGTTTTTTTTTACTTAGTTTGTTTAATTATGTAATATGACGATAGTTTATCGCACGGGAAAAAGTGTCTCTTCAACCTTCCCTCATTTTCCGACCACGGCTTCGCCTCGATCGTAAAACTTGAGCTAGGGTCGAAAAAATCACTTTACGCTCTAGTGATGAACTATACTATTTCGCCACTCTACTTACATGAAACACACTATACATGAATATCAGTCAAATAAAATAATATAAATGCGGCTCTGCAATTGTATTACATTTAAAGGTATTTGTTTACAAAAGTTGAAATTCCAGTTTCAGTTTTAATAGTTGATTAGCAAGTATCAAGTTAGAGGCAATCAATGATCGATCCGGATTCCATTAGCAAAGCTAACATCAAAGGGTTTGTGTGTTGTGTTTAGGTAATCAAAGCTTATCCATAATACTACCGTAATCTGTGTCTATCGTATTCAAATCAGATGTGTGTGTTTAGTCAATATCAAAGTGTTTGATAAAAATATGGTTTTGCAATAGAATGTTGTAGTTTGGAATATTTCAGCACTAGCGCGTAAAGTAATTCTTTTCGGCCAGAGCATAAATTTCACGAAAAAATTTGATGTAGTAACACTTCGGTCCAGTAACATTTCGGCCAAACTCAAATTTCTTAGAAAAACAGTATCACTTCGTCCCACTCGCTTTTACAGATGATTAAATAAGCTAATGGAGTAACATTTCGGCCCGACGAAAAATTGACAAGGGTTGAGGAACGCAGTTCAGGTAGTAAGAGGTACATGACCTGTATACTTTGCAACCACCCTCTGGTGGAATGTCGCCCAACCGTCACCAATTGCATCCTCTGACCTCACATGACGGAGAATCGGTGGAATCTTACCTAACCTAACCTAACCTGTCAAATATTTTGTTGGGACGAAGTGTTACTAGTGGGCAGGTAGAGAGTTGGACCGTAGGCCACATCTGAGGGTTTCGGGCCGAAATGTTACTGGGCCGAAGTGTTACGACACGAAAAATTTGAACTAACTGAACTATTCTTTACGTCATGTAACATTATTGAATAAATTGAGTATCAATTACGAATGTGTTAGTGTACACTATACCATCGATATGACGAACTAATGACAAGAATGCAACAATAAACTATAACCGATTAAATAAATCGATAAATAATTTTGATCCATGGAATTACTTTTAATTTAAATTTACAACTGAGTTTCTTCAGCTGACTTATCCTCCCTAGGGGCTTAAATGGCTTTTTACTCCCTAGGGAGTAAATATATAGTCTCATATTAAGTTATAGCAAAAATTGTCGTAGAATATTTTCTTTTATTTCTTCGCGAATGTGAATTTATGGTAATATTATCAATTTCTTGCAATATGATGTCAAGTACTACCATTGACGTCGGATCACTACTACTATACTTGTTTATAGATTACAGAGTTGTAGCAAAGTGTTTCTACTCAGTTAGTTCTATTAATATCGTAGAGCTTAACAGTTCTATGTTGTATGAAGCAAGTTTAAACTCCTAATTGTCCAATCAGGAAACATTGAGCCACTAATTGCTAAGTGAGTTTCTAGATTGCAGAGTTGTAGCAAAGTGTTCTACTAAGTTAGTTCTATTAACATTGTCCATGCGTTAACAACTGTATGTTGTATGAAGTAAGTTTATACTTCTAATAGTCCAACCAGAAAACACAGCCACTAATTTCTAAGAGAGTTTCTAGATTACAGAGTTGTAGCAAAGTGTTCTACTAGGTTAGTTATATTAACATTGTCCATAAGTTAACAGTTGTATTTTATATGAAGCAAGTACAAACTACTAACTGTCTAATCACGAAACATAGAGCCACTAATTACTACGTGAGTTTCTAGATTGCAGAGTTGTAGCAGTGTTGTACTAAGTTAGTTATATTAACATTGTCCATAGGTTAACAGTTGTATGTTGTATGAAGTTCTTAAACTTCTAATTGTCCAATCAGGAAACATAGATCCATTAATTGCTAAGTGAGTTTCTAGATTGCAGAGTTGAAGTAGAATTCTGCTCAGTTAGTTCTATTAACATTGTCTATATGCTACCATTGTATGTTGTATGTAGCAAGTTCAAACTTCTAATTGTCCAATCAGGAGACATAAAGCCACTAATTACTAAGTGAGTTTCTAGATTACAGAGTTGTAGCAAAGTGTTCTACTAAGTTAGTTATATTAACATCGTCTATAGGTTAACAGTTGTATTTTGTATGAAGCAAGTACAAACTTCTAATTGTCCAATCAGGAAACATAGATCCACTAATTGCTAAGTGAGTTTCTAGATTGCAGAGTTGAAGCAGAATTCTGCTCAGTTAGTTCTATTAACATTGTCTATATGCTACCATTGTATGTTGTATGAAGCAAGTTCAAACTTCTAATTGTCCAATCAGGAAACATAAAGCCACTAATTACTAAGTGAGTTTCTAGATTTCAGAGTTTAAGCAGTGCTGTACTAAGTTAGTTATATTAACATTGTCCATAGGTTAACAGTTGTATGTTGTATGAAGTTCAAACTTCTAATTGTCCAATCAGGAAACACAGGGCCACTAATTGCTAAGTGAGTTTATAGATTGCAGAGTTGAAGCAGTGCTATGCTAACATTGTCTATATGTTGTATGAAGCAAGTTCAAACTTCTAATTGTCCAATCAGGAAACACAGGGCCACTAATTGCTAAGTGAGTTTCTGGATTGCAGAGTTGAAGCAAAGTGGTTCTAACAAGTTAGTTCTATTAACATTGTCCATATGTTGACAAAATCAATTTAGGTCAGTTAATATTGATTGAATACGGTATTAATTCAATTTCTTGAAATATGTTTCTAAAATAAGCTTTTGCAAAACTATGTGTCTAGGCTGCAAGATCTTGTTCCGATATAATGCTATCCTAATTTCTAGATCTTAATTTTTCAGTATCAAAAGCGATATTTGTATTTTTAATTTCAAAACAGCTCATTGTGACCCAGCATGACTTAATAACTAGGTCTTCCGACTGCTCGACATATTGAAAGAGTCTTAATCACCATAAAAAAGTATTTTTGATAATTGTGTGAGCTAGGAGATTTACAGAGTTTAAACAGAGATGTTGTGTGGTTTCTTTATACATCTTGATAAAGGTAGCATCTGACACTGGACTTTCGAGGGTTGGGAAAACATAAAACAGTAATTGAAATTTATTTATTCCAATTCAGGAAGAGAAAAATCTATATATGGAGGGATTATTTTCCTTTTTCACTCTCTGCTGTACTTGTGAGACTTCTGTACTTGGGTTGTATGGAAATTCTATCAACTTGGTCTAATCAAATCCTGGTCTTCGGTAGATGTCTGCGTTGTTGTTGATGGCAATACTAGCCGAGTTTCAATACGTTAGACCAATCCATCTTCGTGGCAAAATGATAAATCTAACATATTTAATTTTTAGCTATGTTCCTTGTATCTAGCGCAATCAGTTGATTGAATTCTAACTTTCCCCCGAAGGTGGGTTGCGGCAACGTATCCAAATCGGTATTAACGCTTCGCCAGTCTACGGCGTCCATCCAAGACCAAAATTAAACCGTCTACTGTGACCGATGATGGCTTTTCTAGATTTTCTAAGTATCTAATGCAGGGGTTTTGTCTTTGCAGGCATGGAGGCTCTAGAGACCAGTATAAACTACTGGGAGGACGCTCTGGCCTTATACACCACCAAGGGCCCCACCCTAGCTCTGACCAGCGAGGAAGAAGCAGAGTTCTCCAGCGAGCTGCAGAAGTTGGTTGAAGCTGCCTACAGCTTACAGGAACAGTGTGAACTGCTCTTCCTCGACCAGGTACTCTCATTTGAGATTTCTTACAAAATATTCAATCGTTAAATCAAGATTGTATCATGTATACTTTGATGGGTTGTGCTGTAATGGCTTAGAAGTCTGCATTCTGTGACAATACTTGAATACTGGGCACACAAGTTGATTGGTGAACAAATATTTTGACTACGATAAACAATCAAAGTCAATGTTAGACCGCCTCAGAAGTTTACATTCCCATGAGGTGAAAATAATATGAAGGTTGTCTTTAGAAGAACCAGAATCGTTAGAGGAAATAAAGGAATCACTATAACAAATTAAGAGAATAATGTATTTAAATATTACCAATAGATTATTTAATTGTTTCATCTAGTTTTTGTATAATTTTGTTTTTTATTTTAGTTTTTTAAGCAAATTGTCCAAACACTGGTCTAGCTCCTCCAACTCCGACCTTTTGTTAGAAAGCGCCATCAATTGAAAGCAAACTGACAAATTTCATCCGGGCCTAGAATCGACTCCTCTTGGAATCGAACTAGCAACCATTAGATTTGAAGTTGATTATTATAACCACTTGGAAACGCAGACAATATTTTCTCTAGCAATATTTACTGAGATGTCAATAAAGTAAACGTTTTCCCCACTATTCCCAGCGATGTTGTGCACAGAATCTGCCCAAACTGAAACAGAAGAACATTGGACCGCGATGTGTGACTATTTTTTTGGTAGGTTGGGAAACGGTTGTTTATTATTGTTCTGGACGACTTCCATTAAGACACCTTGGTTACACCTGGTAAGGACCGAGGGAAAGATCAACGGCAATCAACTGTTGAAATGACTGTACAGATTACAGAAGAACAAACTTCTTGTGTGCATGTGCATCCATGTCGTCACTAATTGACACAATCTATAACTAATAACATTACTTGGCATTATTATTGCGTTTTGAATATACCTTGTTCTGTTCCAGCGCTCTGTGCTGTTCCGTGCCGACAGTTCTGTCAGAGATGGTCTCTCCGAGCACAGGTCCGGGGACTATTCCTCTCCAGAGTCGTTTGTGTCAGCGCAGGACCAGGTTTGGACAACAATTCACTTTGGATACTTTATACAACACGTTTATATAGACCAGTTGAAAACAAATCTTTATTTAAACAGAAGACTGTTGAATGAACTCATTAAGCACGTTGCTGCCGGAATTCTGTGTTATCCATTCCATTGCTGAAAATTTCATAAGAGATGTTATAATTTACTTTAAGTCGTTCTTTTTTACTTGGTTAACAATTTGAAATATTCAAAAAGAATCTGTATTTGACACCAGTTCACTATTGGTGGTCCAATGTAAATGTGGTAATTTTTATTCCAAAACTGGTTAAAGCCTTAGCTAAATCAATAAAATACGTTACGGAGCTGGTTGACGAAGGTAACTTAGTCATAGGATCATCTTGGCGGCTAGAAAATATTGATGTTAAAAATATGTAATATGGAAATTGGATTTCAACTTCTATCGATAGTCAAGTATTCTATTCTGTGGTGGATTTTATGGCTGCCTGAGCCTGATGTCCTTCCATCAGGGGAAACTGTCTGAAGCTTTGAGCAAAATAACCTCTTAGAGCACATTTAACTCTATGTGATCTATAGATTTAACCTAGGTTTCCATGGTTCGTATTACCGTTTCTAAATCGATCCAGGGCGCTTGCTCTACCCAGTCCAGTGGTGAGGTGTTTGAAAGTAAATATGATTTTTCGTCATGGCAACGTAACGAAAATACAGTGTACAAATACAGTTTACTTTTACACTTCTTTTGGTAACATTTGCAATATGTTTTGTAAAACTGAGTAGGTTTATTACTCTATGGTGATGCATACGCTGAAATTATTGTAAATGTTAGCCCTACATAGTCCATTGTCCTTTTTAAAATTATCTAGCCTACTATTATAGAACAATATGTCTATGTGGTTGTAATTTCTATCGCGCAGTAACTAATTTACGCTGAAATTTAAATAAAGTTATTTACTCTAACGAGAAGTAGATACTTTGACCACGGGCTTTTCCCCGGGATTAATAATATCCGAAGTGATGCTTTGTAGTAAACATTTAATATCTCCATGGAAACGATAAGAAACCCAACAATGTTTATTTCACCGTTTTCTCTCTCACATTTTACGTTTATTTTTATGTCACACAACCTAGCATTAATTAGATTTTTGTTATAAGCTTAGTACTTTTATCCTATTGCTTTGAGATTGATTAAGGTAAATATTAAGTCTTCTGGAGACAGACATTCTGCATTGCCTTTAAAGAGATTTTCACTCTTAGTTGATAGGCCTACCCTGTTGTAAAGCTCTCCTCAGATGTTTTGCTTCTTTAGAAAAAAAAACACTGTGAAGTTCTTGATTCATTTCCATACAGAATTAATTTTACTTTCTCTCCCTATACATAGATTAAGTACAGGAGAAAGTAACATAAAATACATTAGGAGAAAGTATTGTTTTTGTCAAAATTTTTGGTTTTGAGTTTTGAGTGGATATATCCGTTTTGGGTTCCCCTGAACCCAAAAAATTGGTTTTCGAAATGATGTCTGTGTGTGATTTTTCCCTATAAAATATCATAGTTACACCCCCCGCGTACCTATGATGAAGGTGTTAACAAGCTTATGGGAGAAAGGATTTGTCAGATTGCTGATACCGTTTATTTTTTACTTTTTAGCGAATTTCCCATATAGGGAATAAGCTATTACCGTAGGTCTCTAGTAAGACCTAGACCCGGGACCGATTTACTTTTTCGTTTTGAGGTCCCCAGAGGCCAAAAACACCATCCGTTCAAATTCATATATATATATATATTTATATATATATATAATATATATATATATATATATATGTGTCCGTTAGCGCGATAACTCGAGCAAAAATGATCCGATTTTGATGAAATTTGGTACAAACGTGTAAACCTACATTTATTCGAACGAGTTCGCGAACCAGCATAATCGGACCATGCTAACAGGATTTATGGGGGGTTTTATGGGGTAAAAATGGGTTTTTCCCATTTTTTTACGTAAAAACAAAAAATTTTGTATTTTCCTCCTCAACCATTTTGTAGAGCTTAAAAAAATAAATAATTTAGTATATTGAAGCGCTGTTGTATGCCTAACGGTCACAGAGAAAATTCAAAAAAAGTGTAATTTAAAATTCCCATGTTATTCTTATGGAGAAAATGAAAACTGTTGTAATTTACTTGTTTATGGATATAATGTTGATTTTTTATTTCATCCTATACTATTGACATATTGTCAAAAACACTTTTTACCTTCCCCGTAGCAGCAAACCTAAGCACTCGTTAAATCTAATACTTAGGCGATCCAGAAAGTAAAGAACGTTTCGTTATGACGCCGCTAGGCGCGCGCCGATCTCGTACTTTTTGGTATGTGCGTACTCGGCAACTCAGTCAGTCAGTCGGCATCCAGCCGTGACAATTCATTCTAGCGCTGCCCGTTTTTTCACAATTTCAACTTAAGATGAGCGCTGCAATAAAAAATCCCGCCAGTTAAGGGGTGCGGTTTTTGTTGGAAAACACTTAAAACCGAAACTTCTCCTCAATTTTCACGGACTTTGTTGTTTAAAATTGTCACGCAACAAAGGGAAAGACCCGTTATCGGGAATCGGCGGTTTTTGCGAACCTTTTCATCAACTTTAGTGACCAGTTCCATCAGTCATAATGCTCGGGCGTCCACCCTTCGCTTCGTCATGACTCATGAGCGTCAGATCGGCCATTTTTAATCTGAATGCACCATTTTCTCAGAACTTTCAATCATTACTTTTTTCCCTTAAACTTCATACCCTTGGCGATAAATGTCTATCGATTTTAAGTTTAATGCCAACACAAACCGTATCATTAACCGCACCCCTTAAATGGCGGGATTTTTTATTGCAGCGCTCATCTTAAGTTGAAATTGTGAAAAAACGGGCAGCGCTAGAATGCTCCAATTGTCTCGGCTGGATGCCGACTGAGTTGCCGAGTACGCACATACCAAAATGTACGAGATCGGCGCGCGCCTAGCGGCGTCATAACGAAACGTTCTTTACTTTCTGGATAACCCACGTATGTCATTTAAATTGGAAATATATAACTTATGTTTTATTTATGGAAATATTTTAGTAAAAATGTAATCAGACAAGTTGAAATTCGCTTAGTCTGCAGGTTTGCTGCGGCGGGGGTATTTTTAAATGTTACGTATTATGGTCACATTGTGACGTAACTGTTAAATCGCTCATTCAATCAATTAGTTTTATCGAATGTTGCACTACGTAACATTTGAAACCAGGGTATATTTGAATAATAGAAACAAAGGTTACAGACAACATATCAAGATACAGTTTTATTAATACGTTTGTATTCTAGTTTTTTTATAATTACGTACAAAGAAAACATGGCGTAGCGGCATATCTACCTTCAGACTAATAATCAAAGGTTTAAATATGTCCAGTCACTTTCGCATTTCCAAGCCTTATCAATGTTGAACTTTTTAGTACTTAAAGCACGGTGTCAGAAAAGCAAAGAACTACAATATTTGTACTAAGATAAAATTGTTTAACACACAATCAACACAAAATACAGAAACTAACAACTCAACCTCTTTACTCATGATTCACAATTCGACTTTTTCACTTATCAAATTGGTCTGTTGACTCAAAACAATTGTAAAATCAAATTCCCTCTTATCAATATGTCTCGAAATGTCTGGTTTATAACAATAGAGTAGACAACAGTTAGAGCCTTGGTTTTATCTTGTTGGTCCAAACTGGGGAGATTAGGTCAGTTTGTGTTTGGGCCCAGCTACATGGTGACATCTTTACAGCCCGTCATGTTTCAAGCTGCTTTGTTTATGACTCTTGAGGTATCTATAACTCAGTCTTATACTCTTGGTTGATTATCTTGTAGTTAGATTACGCTTTGAGTCATACAATAATATAGGATTGAAGTCAATTTTTTGTTGGATTTCAAGTCTATAGGTTTATGTCAAAGTCAGAGTGTTACTCTCTGTAGCAGAGATTGATTTCAGAGTTTGATGTTTTTGGGATCTTTGATTTAGTCATGATTGTTACGTTTTTAGCTAAATTACCAAATCACTCGGTGGGATACTACGAATTAAATATTAAATGTGAACAATTAAGTCAAATAAGTTTTTACTCGTGTTATTTCAATGTTTCTGGCAAGACATAATCTTTCAACCTGTAGGGTACTGCCTTGGTTCATGTATTAGCTGTTGTGTCTAAAATATCAGTTTCTATTAAGAGTTTTGAGGTAAGAGTTATTTTTTGAACACGTCTTTCTAATGATTAGAAAATAGACTATAATGTGTAGATTTGTTGTGTATAATATTTACAACAATTATTGAAAATACCCCCGCCGCAGCAAACCTGCAGACTAAGCGAATTTCCATATGTCTGATTGGATTTACACTAAAATGTCTACTTAAAAATTTAACATTTATTTCCTATTTAAATAGAATTATTTTAACAGGTACTTAGGTTTGCTGCATCAGGGAGGGTAAAACTTTTTTTTGTAAAATGTTAATAGTTAGTAAGAAATAAAAACATTTTCCAAATTTGATCAAAATATGTTCATAAACAAGCAAACTACAACAGTTTACTCATTCTCCATAATGAATAACATGGGAATTTAAAATTTACATTTTTTTGGAATTTTCTCCGTAACCATTAGGCGCATAGTAACACTTCAATATACTAAATTATTTGTTTTTTTTAAGCTCTACAAAATGGTTTGAAAAGAAATTGTGAAATTTTGTGATTTTTGGGTCAAAAATGGGAAAAACCTATTTTTACCCCATAAAACCCCCCGTAAACCCCCGTTCCCATAGTCCGATCATGCTGGTTCGCGAACTCGTTCGAGTTTATCCCGCCTTACACCTTCAAACCAAATTTTATCAAAATCGGACAAAAATTACTCAAGTTATCGTGCGGATGGACACATATATATATATCTCTATATATAGATATATAAAAATTTGAACGAATGGTGTTTTTGGCCTCTGGGGACATCAAAATGAAAAAGTAAATCGGTCCCGGGCCTAGGTCTTACCATGAGACCTACGGTAATAGCTACTTCCCTATAGGGAAATTCGCTAAAACAATATGAAATGAAATTATTTTTATTTATCCATAGTCATTATACAGTCAAGATAAATACATGCAAGTGGCCAGCATACGTCAAATGCTAATAAGAAATGTGTATAGATTGTATGAAATATAAATAGGTATAAAAAGTATGAAGACGCCACAACTTGCTATAAATAACAAGAAAACAGATATAAAAATGGCTGTCATTCAAGGTTGAGATTGGACAATACATAGGGAGTTATGTCATAGAATGTAGGGTAAAACAATAGCTTGTATGGTTTATATTCTTATTTTCAATAGTGACTTACATAATGATTTTCTAATACTTTAATACTTTCTTACAAACAAACAAACAAACAAACAAACTTTCACATTTATAACATTAGTAATATGTCTATCTAACTATTAATATTGACATGTTGTTATGAAAATACAAAATAAGACTTCTGCCTATCCATCTGTAAAAACGCATCTACGCATCTTATTTTTCTTGGCAACCACCCTTATTTTTAATCTTCAAGTAAACTAAAACCTCTTATTCAAAGTAATCTATTTTTAAATAAATATGAATCTTCAATACTTTTCAGTAGAATATTATATAATTCATAACCTAATAAAACACGGGGTTTTTTAGATAGTACACACAGAATTCTGTGGGTTTAGTGAAAAAGTTCCTAGGTCCATCATAAACTCCTTATAAATATTGAGCACCATGTTTTCCAGCAGTTATTAGAAATTGGTTGGCATAAAAAATATCACGGTATAAAAAAAATTACAATTGAAGATCCTTAATTATTGAAGGTCTAGATTCGCCTATTGGGTGTCATGATGATTGGAGGTCGAATCGAAGTCGCGATCACCACTTACAATTTTGTATGTATACCAACATCTAGTGAGTTAACAGCATAAGTGTAAACATATGTTTCAAGAGTGTTGTTACATGTATTTTTATTTACTTTCTTTGTTATTGTTGTACTCACCAGGTGGCAGACCTGAGAGAGTTTGAAGAGTTTGTGGACTTGTGTACGGACACAGACCAATTGCCACTCTACCAGTCTGCGTTGAGACAGTTCGAAGATGTCGGCATTCCCTACAGGTTTGTCTTTATAATGTAGTTCAAGCATAAATAAATATAAATGATTTATTCTTTAGCGACACAAACTTAATGTGTATTTTAAGCTCATTATCAATGCAAGATGAGTATATGATGGAGTGAGATGATCGGTCTAGCTTTGTTACTGACTAATATCAGCTGTTAAGGATCAAATGTCCAATGATCAAGAATAGCTGGGTCCAGTTTTTAAACTCGAAAAGCTACTCACTTTTCTCAGGATGGAATCAGCGATAACTTGGCTAGAACTGCAGCCATAAAAACTGCAGCCTCAGTGCATAAAAGAGGTCTAATAAGTGCACTACAAGAGAAAAAACATAAGTGTCGAGTTCTTATGAATAAATTGAATTCTGAATGCCAGAACTATTTTTAATATGGTTGAAAGTAGGTTAACATGTATACATTTTGCAATTTATCTGGATGTTTTCCAATGCCACATGTTATCAACGCTGATGGGTAATGTTGCATTAGATCTTTACATAAACAAGTCATTGACGTTGGGGGTCGTTGGTGATGAATCCGTATTTCTCTAGTATGTGGATTTTTAATTTGGTCAGTTTTACCAATTCTATATGAAATTTTTGAAATCTATCTTTGTTCAAAAGATTAGTTTCTACCATAGTATCTTACTAAGCCCCAGATAAGTAAGGTACAGAGGAAACTCGCTTTAGGGACAACTGTGTAACTTCAACTCCAGCATGTTGGGGCGGAAATATACTTATGACTTGTGAGTAGTGACGAGCACTTTGCGGAAATTTCTATCGCACAGGGCACAGGGTCTTCCTCCACCGTGAGCGTTGTAGTACATTAGGGCAATGGGGGTAGTGTTAACTTTGCCATAGACACCAGTGGTAGTGCTAGACACCACTTAAGTGTACCATTGGATGTTTCCCTGTACCTTACTGCTGCTTTAGCTCAACTAATTTATCTTTTAGTTTGCCCTCTACCAGCAGATATAATGAAAGATGAAACAGTTTACCAGTTTCATATTGTTTCAGAACTCTAAGGACAGAGATGGTTCACTGTAGTTCTGACGTGGAATACCTTTGCAAGCTGCATTGTATACGACTTGCATTCCAATACCTGTTTAAGGACACCAACAATTGGACTTGGTTTGCCAACAATGGTAGACAAGTTCTATACGACCTACTTCTCTATGCCGATAAGGTAATGAATCTTGTTAATGTGATGGGGTAAACCGACAATGTAGGGTGGTGCACCAGTGAAGGACCACCCCCAATGAATGACCGTTCTGTATAAAAAAAAACATCTTATTAAGTTTTTCCGTTTCCTTAGTGCTTAAGTCTATCACAAAACGATATTAATAGTATCTTGGGAGCCTGTTCGGAGTCTACCCTGTCACTGGTTCAAAAATAAAGTGTCAATCATTCTTTTTTAAACACCAACATAATTAAGATTTCCAACCAGTTCATCTTCAAGCAACCCACTATAGCCACAGTGTCTTGTAAGAACAAGTTTTGTTTGTATTTCAGTATTTGTCATGGTTCTTTGATTATTAATAGTAACTGCAATAGATTGTATTCACAGTAAATATGTTAAGGACAATTCTGTACCTATATTAAGATCAAAATCCTAACCAACAATTATTTAAACAGCCGGTCATGTACTGGACTCTTTTGCTCATTAACTAGATTTTTGATGATTTGTTTTTCAAAGTTTTGTAAATGATGTTTACTGATAGATTAAGTGCTTACTAGGAAACACATAATCTCATAAGAAATTATGTGGATACACTATAAACAAAATTTGACTGCAGGTTATAGAGGTTACAGTAATTTATTACCGTACTTGAAAAGTGGTCATTCACTAGAATCTATATTTTATCCCTGATTTTATGGACAATGTTTAACAAATAGCAGAGTAGTCCTACCCTTATATGAAAGAGTATATAATTTTTAATCAGTGGAAATGGAACGTCTAGGAGAAAATTGCATGTATAATAATTGTGTTTTGAAGAGGTGCTAGAGCCAGTTATTTGCAAAGGCTCTTTAAAGAGGTTTAACCTGTGGTGTAGTCAAACACCTTTGAAAGCCGGCGCTCACCATCGTCCCAGAAAACTAGGGGTCACCTATCAACAGCTAGATAGGACTTTTTGAGGTCATGTCCTGATTTTTCCCTAACCTAAGGTGGCAACCCTGCCACCAACTGGCTTTGTCTAAACGCAACTTGAAGTAACAGCAGGAATTGACTAAAGTAATAAAGCCACACTTGTGAAGTTTTGTAATAATAGTTTATTATTACTGTTATCACACTTTACTTATTGAATAAACTCTTAAACAAAAGCCTTGAAATAATTATAGAATAGAAACCATAAAAATACATACATTATTTGATTGAATTAAAGGAGCTAGAGCTGGGTTTTCCTAAGCACAGAAGCGGTGAGCCGAATGGTACTGTTTTCCTAGAAGCGGACCAGACCACCACTAGACAAGCTGAAAATTGCTTCTTCGAATCCCACACTGTCCACGAAAACCCAGCTTAACATTAATAATTTGAGATTCAAACAATCAAAAAAGTAAAATTTAAACTACTAATACTCTATTAAAATCTATAGTTAAGTTCATTTAACGGGAAATTTTTACTTTGGATGAGCGTTATTGGGGAGATGGAGTTAACACATTGAACGTATAAAAGTTATTATATACCTTAGGTTTAAGTAAGTACATAAATTCTGGAAATTAAGCACTGATTCTGCGTACAACTATTGACTTTCGACAGATTGTGCTAGGGTATAATTTCTAGTTCCTACCTTATTTTTCTTACTGAGATAATTGACCCGACACAAAGATGCTAAAGCTTAAACTCGCATATTCCACAGAAATCGTTAATTTACATGAGCACAATCTGTTGGTTAGCTCACTTCAACTAGATCAACGTCCATTTTGATTCCAAAACTGGTGACAACTTTAAGGCCAGGCGCACGCACACAGGCGATTTTGAGTCGCGCAACAGTTGCCCGACTAATCGGGGGACTGTGTTGCGCAACCCACTCGGAGACTCTGAAGTCTAGCGACAGTTGAGCTGGAGTGCGCACACAGGCAACTTTTTAGTCGTGAATCTAGTATTGAGAAGTGTTGGACATACATTATTGTACAGTGTTCCGATTGTATAATGTAGCAACAGTTTTTAATATTTACTTACCCTGTTTGATTTTATCCTCTTGTGTTAGGTTGTTCCAATCTTTGGTAACTGCCAAGGACACTTCATCCCACAACTTCTTCTTTAAATTAATATCCGAATAGTCTTTCAATGACTTTAAATATAAAGGCGGCCTCTTCTCAACTTCATCAATTAATTGTTCGACATCCTCATCACGCTAATTTTCTAAAAACTTCACACAACAAGAGAGCAAACACTAGTGACAGTTCTGGCCACGAGTAGTTGAACTCCTGGGGTGAGACTGAGCGACACAGCAACAATTTAGTCGCATGTGTGCGCATCTACACTTGTTTCAATGGATACCAAACCTGGAGCGACAGTCCCGCAACAATTGAGTCGCAGAGCAGTCGCTGGCAAATTGGGTCCGGGAACATCGGTTGCAACAGTTGCGCGACTGTCCCTGGACTGTTTCCTTGGTGTGCGCACTCCAATTTAAAACAATGTTGAACATTTTAGTCAGGCAACTGTTAACTCATTACTATTAACTGCGACTCAAAATCGCCTGTGTGCGCCTGGCCTAACATGGGAATGGAATGGGTAGATCCATTAATAGTCAAATGTGTAACACTCACTTTTTATTGACAGGACACAAAGGATTTCATGGTGGCGTATGAAGAGATGCTGTTGTTCCTACAAGAGAAGGATTGCTGGGAGGATGTTGAGAAGGAGTTGAGTGTGAAGGGTGTGAAGGCGATGACGTTCTATGACGTTGTCATGGACTATATCCTCATGGATGCCTTCGAAGACCTGGACACTCCTCCGGCTTCCGTCACCGCAGTTGTTCAAAACAGATGGTTGTCCAATGGATTTAAAGAGTCTGTGAGTTTTCCAAGAGTATTGCTAGGTACTCACATTATTAATAATTTTAAAATGGATTTTCTTCAATCTTAAATAAAATAAATCACTCTTAAACACTTTACTACGATAGTGACACATATTGAGAGTGTGTTTTGAACTGGATATGAATGCAAAAGATTATTGAATGGACTGTGATATTAAAGTAGTGGGTTTGACTAAGATCATCTGTTTTTTTCAGCCAAGTCTATTCATTATCAAGCCCAATATTCAAGGACAGCTTGGTACATTTTTGAATGATTGAAAAGATTCTAATTCTTCTTGGGATCAAACTAATAGTCTTTTAACAATTGAAAATAACACACTTAGATGCAAACAAACCTTTTATTAAAATTTCTTTTCATTTAGTTTTTTTTCAAAATCATTATTTAGACAAATAATGGCTAAACATATAGGTAGTTTTGGTCAGTATCGTTCAAAACTTGCTACATATTTTTCATCGGTTTTTGGACTCCGCCATCATCAGGCTAACAAAAGGATCCACTTCTTGAGGTGTCTTTAGAATAAGTTATACACATTTTACACATTAACACAAAGACCATTAATGGTAGGCCTATCAATTACATGTAAAAAGTAAAATGCCGCATTTTTGGACTATGCCGCATTTTTGGACATTGCCGCATGAAGGACTGGAAGATGACAGAACTAGGCTATGACGGACTGCTTCCAAAATACAGAGAAGATGGGAAAATACATACTTTCTTATAGAGGAGTAAGGTGTAGAGGAAACACTTAATTTTCTCACTACCATACTCAGCCAGTGGCTGTACTATACTCAGTATACTTAATTTTCTCACTACCATACTCAGCCAGTGGCTGTACTATACTCAGTATACTTAAGTAGGGTCTAGCACTAATAGCTGGTGTCTAGGACAAAGTCCAACACCGCCCCTCTCGCCCTCATGTACTATACCGCTCACGGTGGAGGAAGACCCTGTGCGATAGGAATTTCCACACAATGCTCGCCATTCGGGCTCTTCCTTAGTTGTCATAAGTAAATTTTCCGCACAACATACTAGAGCTGAAAGCGCGCCGTCGTCCCATAAGTGTGTTTCCTCTGTACCTTTCTTTTTTGCAATCTGAGTCGTGTTTTTTTTTTTAATATTGTAAGACTAGCACTTGCTTAGTATATTTTTCATTTGTTTCATTTTGTTAGGTTCTTACCAATCTTTAAATATGAATAAAACTTTCAATGTTTCAGGCGTTGACAACAGCAGTGTGGTCAGTTCTAAAGGCTAAAAGAAGAATGTTAAAGTACCCAAATGGATTTATGGCTCATTTCTACGCCATTTCAGAACAAATGTCCCCCTTGATGGCTTGGGGATTTTTAGGGCCTGATGAGGGCCTAAAATCCATCTGCCTTTATTTTAGGGTTAGTAAAATATTTTGATTTAAATGCTTTCTAATTTTGTACTATCTTTCCATGATGCCTTTAAATCATTTTTAGGTAATTATTGACATTGATATGAATTGCACGAAAAATATTGAATTTAAATATATTTTTTGAAGAAAGTTTTCATCCTATTATTCAACAAAATAAAATATTTGTATTCTTCAGAAAAAAAATTAGGATGATTTTTTGGTAGTTTTTTTTATCTTCAACTGATTAATTTGGTGTGTCATTGTTTTATCAACTAATGCTTCAAGAAATTGGTTTTGTTGTGAAAGTATCATCGTGGATTCTTTATCATCTGATCTTTAGTTATCAACTCTTTGAGTACCCGTCATGCATGCAATCGAGCACAGTGAAATCAAGTGCGAATTTCATGTGGTATGTCATGACTGTAAGTTGTAATGAATTTTGTTGACTCAACCCCTTTTTTCCACTTTGTATTCGGGAACCTCAAGGATTTAGGCATTTAATACAGAGCAACTTATTTAAACTATTTGTATATGGGATATGATTAAGAGACTAATGTAGTAAGACAAGTTTTCATGCTAGGACTGTAGTTAATAAACTTAAACCAAATGATTTTCTTGCAGGAACAGGTAATGGGATTCCTAACAGATGCCTTCAGTTTCCAAAAAACGAGGTACACGACAGTGGAGGAATTAGCAGACGACGTTTTCAAATTCATCAAAGTCAGAGTAGAAAATCTCAGTCGAAGATTAAACTCCAGGGAAATCCAAGCCAGTGTTTAAGATGTAACAAGCTCGCCTTCAGATGCTACACGACTGCTCTGAAGTAGTAGGAACTAAATAACAGTCAGTCTGTTGGTATTGACGATGACTGAAAACTGTAAATGATAAGTTGTTAGTTTGTTTATTTATAAGCGAGGTAGTTTGGCTATGAATCTTTGAGATTTATTAAATCATTTCTGTCAGGGCTATATATGAGAGGGATACAGTGGATTGACAATTCCAGGATCTCTCTCACTTTCTCTCTCTCTCTCTGTCTTTAGACAACAAGTTTCAACTATTTACAACAGAATAGTGTAAAGTAATCCTAGTTCTGCACAGTTTTTCATTGTTTTGGTTGTATTTTGCTATTGTCTATGAAGTGGAGAGGGTTAGCTCTTTGAGTGCCAACGTCCGGGGAACCAGACGTTTTTAAAACGAGCCAAAAGTGCCAACGTCCGGGGAACCGGACGTTTTTAGAACGAGCCAAAAGTGCCAACGTCCGGCTGACCGGACGTTTCGTAATGATCGAACAGTTGTCATAACAACCGAATGGATACTCAGATTCTTTTAACCCATATATTAACATTGAGTCGAAAGTTACAAGATGCGATACATCGATTTTTGTTGGTCGAAATATCGAAAATTCGATTTTTACAAAATTTTAACATAAAAATCGCCAGATCGCGCTCGGCATTTTTAGCGCGACCTTCGGGAAAAATCATCGGCATTTTTTGAGCGTTACTTTTATTTCTCGCCTGGCACTCTAAGGGTTAAAATAATGGTTGAGGACAAAAAAGAGAAAGCAATGTTTACGCCAATTATGAAAGTTGAAAGTTTGACACTCTGCTAACTGTATATGTGGCAGGTATTTTAAAAGTCTAACTTATGTTTTCAAGATTGCAAAGTGATCTTGTCGAACAAAAATATTAACTTATGGGTTTGTATATATTTTCTTGTATAGTTTGAAAGTGTTTTTGTGTTATTGTTTATCTTGTTACTGTCCAAAACTGTGATTTCTTGTTTATATTCCAAGCACAATAACTTGAACAGCAATATCCAATGTTTTTGCTGTTAAGCTGTATAATGTTGCTATCTATAACATTCCATTGATCTTTGTGGTCAAATTGTACCATTGATTTATAGGTTATGTTTATTTCTTTACTATGATACACTGCTTGAATTGCAGTAGGACCCCCTTTACTGGCTCTTGTGTATTCAAAACCCAGACCCAGGGAACTATAATAATTCATAAATTTATATAATGAATAATGATTATGAATTCATACTTACGAGATTCTCTAGATAAGAGTTAAGTATCACTTCAAGCAAACTTCTTTTATGCTAAATCCTATTATTTGTTGTTTGTATTGGTACATACAGATACAGTACTGCATTTATAAAACCAGAGAAAACTATATAGTTCGGCCGCATAGAAAACTATCTCCTCTAGCATTGGTTTAGCATTAGCGGCATGCAGGTCGCATTCTAAAAAAGCGGCCGAACTATAGTCTAGAACTACTTAAATGTAATTCACTCAATCTCTTAATTCAGTTTGAAATGTGTGTTTACCTACGACCGACTTTTTAACTAGCCTTTTCAATTCAGTTCTTAGAATTTGAAAAGATTCACTTTACAGTATTGTTTACTTACTTTACAGTCTTGTTTTGTAGAGTTTGGATAGAATAGAAGTAAAATTGTAATGCTTCAAACATCAATATTGTAATACTTATCAGCTGTAAAGTCAAATTTAATTGACGGAACAATGAGTTGGGACAAGGTTATAAAAGAAAACATAACCTCTCTTAGAAGTTATGAGTAGTGATTTTGAGTAATTAAAAAACTGTCGTAGGTAAAGTAGTGTACGCAACTCGCAAAACCATGGGAAACGGGGGTTTATGGGGGGTTTTATGGGGTAAAAATCGGTTTTTCCCATTTTTGACCCTAAAAACATAGAATTTTACAATTTCTTTTAAAACTATTTTGTAGAACTTAAAAAAACAAATAATTTAGTATGTTGAAGCGTTATTATGCGCCTAATGGTTACGGAAAAAATTCCTGAAAAATTTTAAATTTAAAATTCTTATAAAGAATAAGTAAACTCTTGTAGTTTGCTTGTTTATGAACATATTTTGATCAAATTTGGAAGATGCATTTATTTGTTACAAAACTATAACATAAAAAAAACAAACACTTTTTTACCCTCCCTTTTGCAGCAAACCTAAGTACTAGTTGTTTAATTCCATTTAAGGAATAAATGTGGTATTTTTAAGGAGACATTTTGGTGTAAATCCAATCAGGCAATTGGAAATTCACTTAGTCTACATGTTTGCTGCGGCGAGGGTATTGTTTCTTATCAACACTGAATTGTTATTAGGAAGTAGCCTAATGATAACTAAAAACTGGTTCAAAATCAGTTTTGAAAAATCAAGAGTTTTCTATGTGCTGTACCACTTATGTCTACTTGTATCTTTTTATGCGGTTTTTTACCATTCAGTTACATATCCTGGGTTCTATCATTGACTTTTGGATACTGAAGTAGATATAGTCAAAGGTTCTATTAAATAGAGATGTATCTTTACTCATTACAACAAGTAACTCTCAATAATTGTTTCTTTATTGTTAAAGAAGTGGGTTGGTTACAACGAGGGGGGGGGGGTAAAGTCATTACAGTTAAATCACGAATCTATTACTTGTGTTTATAGTGTAAATATTTTTAGTATTGTAGGGAATGATTTGTTAGTAAGTTATTTCTAGAGGCCTTCGTAAAATATGCAGCTGCATGAGATTCTAATGTACGATCTAAAGTCATGTGGATTCATGTTACTAAATTTCAGCCTCCTAAACTTTTTTTAAATAAAAAGGGTTGCCATAACAACCTGATGAGGCAAAAATAATTTTATGATTGACTTTTGGGGTTTTGGGTACTGGAGGCAACATTCCATCTATGTTATGAAGATCAGCTGTAGAAAAGAATAACATATAGGTACTTAATTTAATAAACAACTGGTACTCAAATTGTGCTGAAGTTGAAAATTTGATTTCCTCTTTTTTTGTGAAAGTTCATGTTCAAATATTATGGCCATACAATAAGTTGTCCTTTCAGTTGGGTTTGGTTAAAAAGTATGTGTATAAACAGAAATGTGTTAGTGTACTTTCAGCGACATTTTTATTCTAAAATTGGTTGGAACTAAAACAAGCAAATGGTACCGTATGTCTAGTTCTAGCCTAGTTGGCTAGTTTTGTCTAGTTAGAAATGTTATGTAACACCTTAGTTTTCAAAACGATGACAATATAAGGTTTAGTAGGCTACCGTTATACGAGGTCTTGAACATTAAACTGAGCAAGTAAGTAAACAGCCAAAACTCCAGGAAATGGCTTTATGGTTCAAAATATTCATACTTGGCTTAAAATACCTACTTTGTATGTCAACATCTCTTTGAAAAGTATTAAAGTAAAGTATAAAACAAAAATCTAGAATAACAACTTTTCAAAATAGGGAAGAAGGCCTCTATAGGAACATCAAGACGAAAAAGTAAATTGGTCCCGGGTCTAGATCTTATCATGAGACTTACAGTAGTACCTTATTCCCTTTATGAGGAATTTGCTAAAGCAAAATGGTGGATAATAGTGCTAATGATTAATTGTTTTATTTTGACCCATAAAACCAGTTCCTGTAGTTTGGCTGTTTTTTACAAGACACCCTGTATACATGAGTGAAAATTTAAAAACGTACGTTTTCATGTCCCTGGCCTTTTACTTCGTAGATACTGGATTTGTAGTTTATTATTATGTGTTTTAATATTTTTTGGGACGGGGGCAACATGTTACACACATTTATTTGGTTTTAAATAGGTTCTAGGTATTTTTTTCGTATTTTTAAAGTCTCGAAATTCACGACCATGACGTGTCCCTAGGGTACGTTTTCCAACTTTCACGCTGTTTTTAGACTAATTATTCATGCCGAAGTATATAAAGCCATATTTTTATGTCATCAATGGTTATTAAACTTACAAAAAAGGAGCATATTATAATTTTATTGTCATTGTAGACTGACTACCGTGACAAAAAAAGTCTGTCCCTCGATTTGGCGTCACGACCATTTGGGAAAACTTTTCATTCAACTTTGGAGCACGACAGTGGCAAGCCTGGCGTCGATGGAGTCAGTTGGTTTTAGAGACTAGTTCGGGGTGTACGTCAAGATTATAGTGCCGGTCGTTTTGAGTTGAAAGGAGGAATTACAAGATTAATAAAGGAAAGATTGTGTTTTTTGTAATTTTGGTGTGTCCATGACCGTACGTAGTCATTCGATGAAGTAGACATGGTGTTAATTTTTGTTTATAAGATATTTCAATTGCTAGATTAACCTAGAAGTCCACTTTGTATCCTCGAACATGAGGTGCAGGGCTACCACCAGAACAGAGCCAAATAACACATAATTTCACGACCAAAGTTTCACGACCATCGCGGGTTTTTTCACGACCAATCCAGCCTTATGGATTATAGTGTGTTTGGTCGTGACAATAACTTTAATATAATTGTATATTGAACAGTTTAGTTAAATTGAAACACATAGTTTTATTATAAGTAACAGTATAATTGAAGGATTGTTTAGAAAGATTTAGATTATTCCAGACAATTCACGACCGTACCGCTTGTCCCTGACCATCACGTTTATGATTTCTATCATAAAAATTTCAAAAATTAAAATATCGTCATATTTCAATGTTTTATAAACAAAAGAAGCACACCTCTATACAAACATAACGATTTTTCGGGTCTCAGGTATGTTTTTTCGGAGTTATACAAACTTAAAAAGATTTTATTGGCTTTTATCTATTTTTTGAGTTTTTTAATTTTTTTTCTAGAAAGACCAAATATACCAAAAGCTCAGTGACCTTTTTATTGTATAATGGTCATAAAAGTAAATTAGTTTATAGCAAAACATAGTTATAAAAATAATATTAACTATTTTTAATATTCATTTAAACGTCCGTTATGGTCGTGACAGGATTTTGTGTTTTTCTACTAAAGATGCTCTTTAAAAAGAAAACTACCAAAGATATTGCATTACCATGGACATTTTATGAAACTTCAAATGTTAATGAAATAAAAAAAATAATAAAAGTTTTGAAAAAAGGGGAAAAAAATTTGCAAAGTGCTTTTCCTGAAAACGTACGTTTTTAAATTTTCACTCACATACCTATCCATTTATACTGCAATTTTTGGGATACCCGTATTTAAAAGAATACTCCAAGAATTTTTCAATAAGTAATTTCAGGTTAATTTGACCTTATAGGAAGCATTACAATTTTTTTTTGTTCTACGAGGTAGTTCATATTTTTAAGATACTTAGGTTTGAACTAGCATTCAACTAGTCATGTAACTACTAACTAGTTCAAATAAACTTTTTGGAAAAAGTAAAATAAAATCCAAGTCAGCTTGTGAAAAATAATAAAATATTTAAAGGAAGTGTCGATTATATCAAACTTTTATGAACAGATAGAGTATTTCCATTAGTTACCTAATCTTTGATTTTAGTCTAATTAGCTCATCAAAAGATAT